GCTTGGTTTCCCGCAGATCATCCTGTTGGATCAGGGCACGGAGTTCTTAGGTGAGTTCCGGCAGAATGCCCACGACCTCGGCATTCTGATCCATACCATCGGGGCAAGGGCGCCGTACCAAAATGGCAGAGCCGAGCGCCACGGAGCCTTGTTTAAGACCATGTTTCAAAAAGCCCTTTGGTCGTGCCCGCCTACCAGTTCGGAGGACTTCAAGCTGTGTTGCGGGAAGTAGAATCTGCGAAGAATCGCCTGTCAGACCGCTCAGGTTTTTCGCCTGCACAGAGAATGCTAGGCGAAACGCCCCGTACCACAGGAGAACTCCTCGCCGACGAGATGGTTGATGTGGTCCTCAAGGGCGTGACGGGCGAGATGGAGAAAAGGCTTCAAGCCCGGAGGGCAGCGCAGAAAGCCTTTGCCGAGGTGAACACTTCTCAAGCGGTGCGGAAGGCGATGCGAGCCAGAGCCAGGACCCAGAAGACGTTCAGGCCTGGGGACGTGGTCTTCGTTTGGAGGTCATGGAAAGCCCAGGGGATCAAGAAACAAGCCTGGGTGGGTCCTGGGGTCGTGGTTTTACCCGACGGCCCAAATGCCTATGTGAATGTGAAGGGCAGATTGTGGCGCGTGGCCAACGAGCACCTTCGTGAAGGCACTTCAGAGGAGATGCGCGGCATAGAGGCCGTGCACCAGGTTTTCGAGGACTTGCGCGAACGTTTCCGAAGGCCAGGCCGTGAACTTGGGGTAGTGGAAGACTTGACGCAGGAGCCCCGTCCTCCTCTTGGGCAGCAGGAGAACTATGAGGACCCGGTGCAGGCCGAAGGAGAAGCGCGAGGACTACCGAGAGCCCGAGTTGAAGACCTGGAGCCGCCGGTGCCTGTTCCTGAAGTACCGGTTCCCATGGAGGAGTTGGAGCAAGCACTACAAGAACCACCAGTTCCCGAACCTCCCGTTCCTGAAGTCCCTCTTCCGGCTCCCGCAGAAGAATTGCCAAGGCACTCTTCACAGGCCACAGCAGAAGAGCCAGAAGTGGAACAGGCGGCCAGTCAGGAGCCTGACCTGGAGTCCCGGGTGAACGCCGGCCAGGAGGCGATCCAAAGGAGTCGGCAGCTGGACGGGATTCCGTATGGAGCCGTCCGACCTTCAACTTCAGCTAGGTCGGCACCTTCGGCACCTTACCTCGCGGAGCTCTCAGCAGACGACTGGTTCGAGGAGGAAGTGCCACAGTCGGAGACGAAGAGCAAGAAGCCCGAGCCAGCACCTCACCGAGACCGCTGGCAGCTACTTGTCGACCATGGCGTGGTGAGGAGGCACCATGTCAAGTGGAGGTCGTGCCAGTTCTCCCCTTGGGAAGCACCTCGAGTTCCCGTGCCTCTTGGGTTCCTTAGCTCTGAAAGGAAGACGGTGAGGGTGTTCAAGACTGGAGTTGCCGACAACCACAGCGACGACTGGAAGGAGCTGAAGCCGAGCAAAAGAAGCGGCGGCAAGTGGAAGGGCTACACCGACTTCTACTTGACCAAGTTCGCGTGCAAGGAGGTGCAGGACCACCCGCTGAAGTACGCACAGCCCGAAGACGTTCAGGAGTACGTGTTCCACACCGAGTCGGCCACCTTTGCGGTCAAGAAAAACACTGACGAGATCGCCGAGAAGGACATTCGACCTGAAGACTGGCCGGAGTGGCGAGTTGAAGACGCCAAGGAGTGGTCCAAGATCGAGGCTTCAGGTGCCGTTCGTGTGCTTTCAGTGGAAGAGAGCCGCAAAGTTGTGGAGTCCCTCACGTTAGAGGGGAAGCTGAACCGCATCATCGACAGTCGCTATGTTCGGCGACTCAAACCTGGAGAACAGGTGGGGGAAAAGCCCACCATGAAATCACGGTGGTGCGTCCGTGGAGACCAAGATCCGGATGCAGTGGAGCTCAACACCTACAGTCCGACGGTTACTACCCAAAACTTGCAAGTGGTGTTGCAGTGCGCAGCCTCCCGAAAGATGCCCGGCTCGTGTGGAGACCTGCAAGCAGCCTTCATGCAGTCCGCTCCTTTGTTTCGAGCGGGTGGCAAATTGTATGTCCGGCAGCCCAAGTCTGGATTGCCCGGGCTGCTTGCTGAGCAGCTGGTGGAGATAGTCTGCGGAGTCTATGGACTCGTGGACGGTCCTGTTCACTGGCGGCAGACCTTGAAGCAGCACATCATCGAGGAGCTGCATTACCGGCAGAGCAAGCTCGATCCGACGATCTTCTTGCTCAACCACAATGGCGAGCTGGAGGGGGTGATCGTCATAGAGATTGACGACGTCCTAGCCTTTGGCTACAGCATCCACGATGCCGCCCTCACCAGGTTGCGTCAGAAGTTCAAGTTTGGGAAATTTAAACGGTTGCAGGAACTCCCGGATGGAACGACCTTTAACGGGAGACGAATCCGACAAACCAAAGACTTCCAGGTGTTGGTCGATATGGAGAAATATGTCCAGGAGAGGCTGTTCCCGGTGAAGCTGGAAAAAGGTCGCAGAAGCAACCCGGACTCCGAAACTACTGCGGAAGAAAAGCAGAAGGCCCGCGCGGTCATAGGTGCTCTGGCCTGGGCTGCGAAGGAAGCGCGACCAGATGCAGCAGCAGCTGCGTCTATGATGGCGAGTCGATTGCCCTCAGCAAAAGTGCGTGACATTGTCGAGCTGAACAAAGCCGTGGAGTCCGTGAAGATGCACAGCAAGCTTGAGCTGAAGTACTTCCCAATAGCTCCTGAGAGCTTGGGATGGGGCACAATAACGGATGCCAGCTGGGCTAACCATTCCGATGGGAGCTCACAAGGGGCTGCTGCCGTGATAGCCTTTGACAAGAAGCTCTTGTCTGGTGAAAGAGCCTTGTGCAGCCTGATCTGGTGGAAGTCCGGAAAGCTTCGCCGTAAGGTAGGATCCACCTTGGCAGCCGAAGCTCAAGCTTTGAACAAGGGCCTTGGAGATCTTCTGTGGGCCAAGGCCATCTACGCGGAGCTGCTCGACCCGAAGTTCGACCTCGAGACCTTCAAGAAGAACGTGAAGTCCCGAGCAGACGTGGTCTTGCAAAAGGCTGATGGGGATCAAGTTCTTCGAGACTCCTTGTCCGTGATCGATGCTAAAAGCCTTTACGACAACCTCATGCGCGAGGGGAACCAGCCGCAGGACAAGTTCACGGCGCTGGACGTGGCCATAGCTCGGGAGAAGATCGATGGTCTGGGTGTTCAGCTGCGCTGGGTGGAGCACCAAAGCATGGTGGTCGACAGCCTTACCAAGGTGAGTGCAAACAAGGACGCGCTGTTCGAGTTGTTGGCCACCGGTACGTTTCGCTTAGAGGCGGAATCAGAGCTTCTGGAAGACCGACTTGTTCGTCGGCAGGAAGGGCGAGTTAAACCTCGCTAGTTTTACTCCCGCAGGTCAGCATAATTTTCAGGGTGCTGTGAATCAGCATGCTGGCGGCTTCTGCAAGCAAGCTGTCCTGACCTGCGGCCGTTGGCTCTTTTGTGTTAGGGCCCTTGAGCTTTTACGCTACCGAGTGTTAGCAGCCGAAAAGAGAGATAGTGCAGCCATTGCTTTTCGCTTGCGCGGTTTCAGTTTGTCATCAGCTTGGTTACATACCCTAAGCCCACATTGGCGCTGATCAGAGTTAACTCGATCAGCACCAGAAAGCCAATCAATGCCGTCTTTAAAGGTGCTGAAGCTCTCAGTTGTTGTCTTTGTCCCAAAGTACCGAGCCTCTCAAGAATTTGATCAGATTCCTATCAGGACCATTCTATCAATTCTAATGACCAGATCTCATTGGTAAGAACCAGCAACAGCTGGTTAGACCTATTGATCAGACCACATGAGACCACCGATCAGACTCTGTGAATCAGATTTCCGTGATCAGATCTAGGTGAGTGTTGCATGTTCGGTGAAGGATTCAGGCTCCACCGTCGCGTTGAACATTGCCTGAAGACCACATTTCGTGTTATTCAAGGATGATGCACTTTATCTAGATGCAAATGTAACGATCACTCCGCATGTCTTTCAAGAACGCTAACAGTCATTATATTGTCGCCAACCCGCAATGCAGAGTTTTCACGTACATGTTTATGGACGAAGCCGAAGGCGATCAAGAAACCTTCCACCTGCAAACCGCTTGATTGAGACCCCACCTACTGCGTGGATAGGTAGTCCACAAAGACAACGGGATTCGGAAGGCCCTAGACGATCGCAGCATTATTGTTCATTTTTTGTTGGAGAGCAACCCGCGTCATTGTAGTCTGGAACGTGGTATCCTTCGCTCACAGCATCTTTGCACCGAGAGCCCCAAAGTTCGCAGGTTGATGGTCTACAGTATTCGCAGGGCTTTCAAAGCCGGGTACCTGATCATCTCTCAGCCCATTTTGTCCCAGGCCTCCTCAAAACCTTACGAGTTCTTCGAGTGGCGATGCGAATTGCATTATGGTTACCGAGGCATAATATGACTCTCCTGAACATAGTGTGGATGTAAATCTTCGCAGCATATTCAGGATGTACAGCGTGAGTGGCAACAAGCATGTTCAACACACATTGAGCAACAATGGCCACAACTTGGAACACCAGCTGGTAAGACCGCCTATGTTCAATGGCCAAAGGTTGAGCTTGAGCGAGTTCGCAAAGTTATAAGGGCAAGAAAGAATGGGTGCAAGAAGTTCAGAAGTGATGAATCACACTATTCCAGCTTCTTTGTGCAACTCCGTCAGAGATGCGTTGTATGAAATCATGTACCGCGACGGCACGGTACATTGATTGCCCGAACAAGTTCTTGATCTTTTGACTAAAGCTGTTGCTGCAAGTGGCCAGAATGTATGCCAGATTGGCACCCCCAAAATGAGGTACCCCTGTTGTTTGAGAAATGCATGTCCAGCTCTGACGGAAGGTCGACGAGGACACGTTCATCGATGTCAGAGCCTCGAGAATACTTCTGCGGCTTTCAGCACCTTCAGGACGTTCGAATGTCAAAGTTTGAGGTGCAACCCTGGTGCGAAGCCGAGATGGGGGAGAACGCCAGCGTCCGACAGGGATGGCGAGTGGGTGGCGGGCCGAGGAAACCCTGAACCTGCGCTGCTCCGCTGCACTCCGGTCCGCGATGAGGCCTCAAGCGGGCCGCTTGCTGCGTACTGGATTTCGCAAGCCTGGCCTGTGTTCCAAAAAATAGCGCAGCGTGTCGGACTTGGCCCCAACATTCGGCCTGCAACAGGACATGGACAAGAGCAACACGATTGCGCTGCTGCCTAAGCTGGTTACTAATGCTTCTTGTCGGTCCTGTCCTGTCCTGTACTAATGTATAGAGAGAGGTTGAGTACTGCCAGAATCCATGAGGTCGTCCAACTGGAACCGGCAAGAGCTTACATCTGCTCAGGCCTCTGCCTCGATGCCTTGTGCTGTTCTTCCTCCTTGGCCTGTTTGCTTCGGCTGTCGTGTAGGTAGAATATGCTGCAATGGATGTTTGGGTGGCACTGCGGCTGTATCAGCAGCAGCTCATCTCAATCAATGCAGTCAGGTTTCAATGTAAGGGAGATGCCTTTCGAATCCGGCCGCAGCCAGAAAGTAAACAACCCGAGAAATTCAGGCTCGCCCCAGTCTACGGGACGGCTGATGCGTCTTGCTTGCAAGCCAGCCTTCGCCGCTGCCTCCGCCCTGATTCCAGTTTTCAGGAGTCGTCCAAGCGGCCAAAGCCAGCCGAAGACTGGGATTCCTGGGGCTGAGCTTTGTTTCCCAAAGGGCGAGAAACTGCGCGGCTCAGGGTTTTTCCACCGCGAGATCAGCATGAAGCCATTCAGAACTTTTGCAAGGAAGGTAGTGTAGTTAGTGTAGGCTGGCTGACACAAGCTGACAAGCTTCACAGGAAAAACATATGCTTCCGCTTGGCTCAAAGATGCAGAGATGGAGTGCAAGGGTCCGGTGACAATGTGATGGCCACAGAGGGTGCGTCTCCCAGAGTGTCAGGAATCTGTTTAAATCGCCTGCAGACGACAAAGTGGCAACGTCAGCAAAAGCACACGGAACGGACGTGTTACATGTGCTGTAGTTTGCTGAAGTGCTCAAGCTGCGAACTGAGGCCGCTCTGTCACGGCGATGGCCACTCGCGACAGATGTGGAGAAGCGGGCCGAAGCGCATTTGCATGGAACGGTCTGGCAGCGCTTGCCGCGATCCACCTGATCCAGCCTGTCATAGGCGCATCTGAACAGACGCATAGTACTTTTAAGGAGCCGGTTGCAGTGCTCGGTTCACAGAATCCTGCAAGACTTTCAGGAACAGTTGTGCCTGCAGCACCGCGACCGACGGATTCGCAGCCGTGCGCCTGTCCGGACAGTGGGCTGGTGGGCTGTTTTGGAATATGCCGGATTGAGCTGTTGCTGTTGCAGGACCCAATCTATGGTAACGACATTTGCTACGAGCCCGTCTGCCCGCCTGGATACTTCAGGCAAGGTCATGCGCGAAGTTACACCGGGCACGCACGGACACATGTGCAGGTGTTGCGCGACCTGCTATGAAGCACCGTGCTATGGGCTGAAGAAAGACCTGCAGGCCAAGCTCCTGTCACTGTCAGGCTGTGTGTGTGTGTGTGTTACATGGGAGTCCTTTCATGTCTCGCCCATCCCCAGCACCGAAATGAGCTCGGTAAAAAATGAGGGAAAGCTTGAGGAGGAGAAGCAGCAAACGAACAGTATGAGGCGCTGCTTTTGCCGTCTTTTGCCTCTAGGGGCCGATGGAAACATTGGACTCCTCGATGCGTCATCTTCAAATACATGATGTTGAAATCGAAATTTCACCAGCCCCTGGATATCTTTTTCAGAGTTTTTTTTGCACACGCTCCGAGACGCACCAACATTCACACAGGCAGCACGGCTAAGGGAAGCAGCACATGGGCAGCAAATCCTAGATCCGACCTCCTCAGAAGGTCCTGATTCTGGTGTTTGTTGCGTAAGATATGACTGCTGCTGATCAGCTGTCGTGGCGCGGCATCTACGAGTGCATCCTTTGCGAACCTGGCGACTACTGCGACGGATGTGACACCTTCGCACAGCTTGGGACTTTGGGACTTCGGCATATATTTTGTTCCCACGGCTGAGCTAAGGTGTCCAGACAACACGCAAGCCAATCGAGAAGGACCTCGCGCCGCCTTCCCGGGTCTGCCTTTCCGCAGCGGTCCCGTGCAGCTTTGCCTCTCAGGTCTCCAACGCAGGATCGACTCGGATAGCCGACTGCGAGTCCTGCGCCGCAGGGATGCAGGCAGCGAAAAGGAGAGGGAAACAAACAGAGAGAGCGAGGCGGGAGTTCGACTGGCTCGGACCCTTCTCCAGGGAGAGAGAGCGGAGGCTTTCTAGTTGGATGCTGTCACGATGCCACATTTGATTTCATGGCCCTCATCGCGGAAGTTGCCGTATCACAATCTTGCAGTCATGTTCAGTTTTGCAGATGATGCGGGCATGTCATGTGTTGCTTGATCATATGACTCCTAGCGATCCTGATCCCCATTGGCTTGTGTTGTGCTTCACGCCTGCCTGCAGAGCCCATCAACTTGGGTGCGCCTCTGGCACGGGAGGGGACGCTTCCCCCGCCCAGGAGAGCGAGAGAGCGAGAGAGGGCTGGCGAGTGAGTCTTCGGCGGCCTTGCGACAGGCGAGCTTTCGCCGTGACAGATGTGTGGAGTCCTATTCTGACGTCTGCAACGAGGAGCAGCATGCCAGTATTGACATCACCAACACGGTTCCAGTCGCACTGCATGAGCAGGCAATCAAAGATCAGCTCGTGGTATGAATGTGTAGCTGTACCTGCAGGAATTTGTTCAGCGATGTATCCGAAGCTGCAAGGCCCGGGCGTCCTAGGGCTATTGATTTCGCGAGGCAGTGCCCCGTGCGTTGCCGCGTCACAGTTCGTGACCTTCGGATACATTCGGAAACAGCTCACCTTGACATCATGCACCTAGCACCAAGATCTGCAAAGCCGATCTCCCGATATGCAAAGGATGGCCAGGTGTGACTTAGGCCGCATGTTTCTGTGATGCCTGCGCAGTGAAGCCAAGACGTCACACGACTTTCCTTTTCATTCCAGTTCTACATGGCTGCGATCTCTCGAATCATCACCTCCACAGCTTTCACACTGACTGTGCTGTCAAGAGTGTCGCAGCATGCAGCTCAGAAAGGTTGAGGGCTTCCTTCATTCATGCACAGGCCGAGGAGCCCTCGCGCGGCAAAAAACTGACTCCATGCGAGCAGATCAAGTGCGAGGCAAAGAGAAGTAGGAGGGTGAGACTGAGATCGAAGGAATACCTGCAGAGACGATGAGACCTGCCATGCCTGCTTTACATGCAATGAGCTTGAGCTGCTCTTGAAGGTGTACTGCGCAAAGTCCGGGATCCCAGACCACGAGGTTGTAAGGCTCTTTGGAGAATCTATTGGAACTCTGCCGACTGAGGCAGTGGTCGGACGACTGCCTGGCAGTCGTCGGAGGCCATTGTAGGTGCGGCTTGTTCTTGCACCGGGTTCCTCACGGCAGAGAGCGAGAGCCGCAGGGACCTCACCACCATCAAGGAGATGCACATGTCACATCAAGTCACTCAATCGGGTGCTGGACATGAAGCCCCTACAGTGCTCGACAGGATTCCGGAGTCATTGGAGCGGATGGGATGGATGCCCAGGCTTGTTCTGTGCCCTCATGGCGTGGTTAGCACATTCAGCACGAAGTGTGATAAGATAGCGCGACCAGTTTGCGCTCTTGTCAACGTGTGCAGGCTACAGTCATCGACTGCGACGTCGACTGCAACGGCGCATCCCAGCTTGGAATGGCCGCAGTCGCCTGATTTCGGCTGCGGAGGAATTTGCATGGGTCGGATGTGCAAGTTTTGAAGTACTCCGACCGACAAGTCCTGGCCAGGCTTGGATCATTCTGACGCTCTTGTGCCTCCACCTCTCCTGACACGGCATGCAGGCTTGAGCTGGCTGTAGCGAAGGCTCCCACTTTATCTCGCCACATGTTTCACGTTCTCACGGTGTCACCGGCACGTAGTCGGCATCAAGAACATGCCCTCCTGAGGACGTGCATGTTCATAGCATGAGCGCATGCGACCGCGCTGAACAAAGCCATAGCACCGTGCCTGATGATCCCACCTCGGCAGCCGTGCATGCAAACCTCTTTTGCGGGCCGTGTGCTTGGACATTGGCCGTCTGCTTGCAGCTGAAGAGGCTAATGTAAGCATAAGCGAAGCAAGTCAGCACGAGCAAGCTGGAATTGCAAAGTTTCTGTGCTTATGGCAAGCCGAGTTGCCGACTCAGCGCCACCGATGCAAAGCTGTTACTTTCGCTGTGGTGCTTTCCTGAGGCGTGGGCAATCGTGTTGTTTTTCCTGATGGACCAGGCCGTCGCAGAGAGAACTACTCCGGTCGATTGTAGAGCTATAGAGCCGGAGCACTCCTGGCCCACCTCCTCTAGCCTGGCATGCTTCACAAGCTCTTCCCGACAAGAATTGCTGTGACCGGGTCGTATTGCAGTTGGTAGATAAGGGAAGATTGCGCAATTTCGGAAAGGCAACAGTTGTCCAGAAAACGTTCGCCCCTGTAAAGCATCATGAAACGGTGTGGGACAGAGTGGCAGGAAACAGGCCTTGCACATGCTGAACTCTGCAATTTGCTGCATACCGAGTTTGTGGCCATGCGGAAGTGCCGGCACAGCCTTAGAGCACTGGCAGCTGGAGCTGAGTTGGCGTGGGGACGAGTAAGAGTTTATAGTATTGGGTCATCCCCGGAAGCTCTCGTTGCCGGCACTGCTCCTACTTCCAGTCCCACTCTAACGACATCTGCAACTGCTCCTGCGTGGCCATGCCACTGAGTTTTGTCGTCACGCCGTTGCACCGTTATGTAGGAGAGGCACGAGTGATTTTTTTCCAACGTTGAACTGCAGCGCAGTGCAGGCTTTGGGACAGGGACCATCAACCCGGGACCAGAACTGCCCGTGCCCATACGGTTGCGCTCCAAGTTCGTTCGTGCGTGGCTGTTGGCTTTGATTGAGCAGAAATTGAGCATAAACAGAAGATCGGTCCCTGTCAGGGCCGGTCACGAAGGTGTGCAGCTGACATGATTGGCACCCTAGCGCGAACAAAAAATTGAGTGCAGGCGAGGGTACATCTCATCAGTGTGATCATCACCCGTGTCCAGTTTGCAGCCAGGTGTTTGGAATGCCGACGTGTCCGGTGCTCCATTGGAGGGTCTGCGCTGACGAAATGGAGCAGAGCTCAGATGCAGCCCGGGCTGTCGATTTTAGTTGAATTTGCTCAGTGTCAGGGCCGCCGCCGAGCAATGGGCAAGCGAGGTGTGTTGCTGTGTGGACTTGCTGGTGTCTTGCTGATTTGACTACATGTCCGGGGAAAGATGGGGAAAGGCAGGCGAAAAGTGGGCTAAACACTGCGAGTCGTTGACACGGTCCCGGACTTACATCTGCGGCGCTGACAGACTACACTAGTAGCCGCACCACCACCACCACCACCACCACCACCACCACTCCCAACACCTACCACCAGCGACCCTTACCATCATCACACTCACTGTCATCAAGACCTCATCGTTGTCATAACCATCTTCATGATCATGATCCTGAAGCTTGTCATCGTTTGAGCACTGCTTGAGCCGATGCCGGCGTTCTCACCTCCACCACCCTCCTCTTTCTCATCCTCCTCCTCCTAGTCGTCCTCCTCCTCCTCCACCTAAGAATCATCATCATCACCACCATCATCATGGTCATCATCAGCATCATCATCATCGTCATCATCATCATCATCGTCATCATCATCATCAGCGTCATCATCATCATCATCATCATCATCACCAGCGTCATCATCATCATCATCATCGTCATCATATTCATCATCATCTGTATTTCTAGAACCCATGAAAAATCGCAAGGCTTCGAACTGTCGTGCTACATGCAGGTCAAATCCGCATTCGAGCACGGAGATGATATGTCTGATTCTCAGCATGGTGTTTTGCGGGATTAAGTTGTAGAAGAATCTTGCCTGGCCGTGGTTCAGCCGGTGCACCCAGGATTCCCCCTGTTATCGGGCTATCGGAAGCAAGAACTGCAGGCTCACTTAATACCCCTAAAGCGAACTGTTCTTGAAGCTCTCTGCGACGAGGAAATCGAGACGCTACTAATTAGGAAGGAGGAGCGAACTGCGAAAATCTGAAACACGAGACCACTCGTGTCACTGGTGGCGTCAAGGTTCAGAGGTTTAGAAAGCCCACTCCGCCAGACTCTGCTGGCGATGAAAGATTCTGTCGAGGTGCTGATGGCTAGTTGTTGAATCTTTTGAAAGATCTGCAAGCCAGTCGCCGCTCTCAAGCACAACACGCCAGCTCTCTGCAGTGATTCGTATGCCAACGCGTGGAGCCCGCAAAGAATGACCCGCAGCTTTGCAAGGCGGTCAGAGCAACTCATCAAGCTGAAAAGTGTGCAGTATGTAAAGGTAGCCAATCAAGTTCTTCCTCGACGACACTTTCTTGCTGGATTGAATCGTAAGCTCAAGATAGTTCGCACACAATCGGTTTCGATGCCTTCCTGTGCGGTGCCGCAGACTCAAGACGAAGACTGGAGCTTTCAGCACTCCCTGCTCGGACGACGGGACGGGACCACATGCACTTTGCAGATGCACGTGTTGAATTGAGGGTACAAACAAGCAAAACCTTCTCACTTCCCTGCCAACCCTGCTTCCGCATCATCCGACTACCCCGACCTTGCTTGAGCAAGCTTCGGGACCACCGATTCTTTCGCGGCAGCTGTCAAGCAAGCTTCAAGATCAGTTTCAAGTTGATATTTGCAAGCCCGAAGCCGAAAAAAGTCCAATGGACCCAAAGCTATCATAAGGTTCAACGACTGTGACCCCGTGTGCAGCTATCTGTGCGCGAATCTGAGCCATGTTGAGCATTGACAGTGTTGCTGCTGTAGTCCGAAGCATCCATTGCAGAGCCATCCAGGCATCAAGACAGAAAGATGTTCATTGCCCATCGCGATGTGCGGAGGCACGCATGTCTGGTAAGGCCTAGACATGTCACAGTTGGTGATACCTCATATGTTGCATTATGTTGCCACATGGACGAAACACGAGTTGAACTGCTCGAATTCGGCTTCTGCTTCGTCTGCCTCTGTGCATGTGAGCGCGTCCGCCTTGGCCAGAACGTGGGGCGAGCAGCGCATGCCTGTGCGACGTTTCCATGGTTAGAGCCTCGTGAGCCTCGTGCGTCCGTGCCCCGAACTGGGTTTCTCTTGCGGCCACGTCCCGAGGCCTGCCCGTTCAAAGCCAGTAGGTGTGGTTGCCGTCTCAGTTGTGGCCGATTCCTCTAAGCTTCGTTGGAGTTGTTTCGTCGACTGAAGATGAAATTATGTTGGCATGTCAGTACCTTTGGAGAGGGTAGGCTCGTTGCTTCATTTGTGCACGTTGCATTCCATTACTGCCTTTGTGGAGCGACCGGTCTCAGAGACTAAGGCGACTGAGGAGAATCTTCCCGATGTTTTCACTTGATCCGGACAGAAGCGAAGCACGAAGCCTCATAGACACGGCCTTGCAAAATGGCAGGGCTGTGTTGGGCATGTGCGAATTCCAGCCCCAGAGGCCCAGCCCGGTGTCAGCCCAAAGTGAGCTCGGTGTACCGGCCGTAGGCAAGCGTGTACAAGTGTACAAGCTTCTCATCGCTTTGTCCTGTGCAAAGCCTCGCGGCCCTAGCGCTCCTCTGCAACTTGGTGCGTTTTGCTGGGGGGGTGCATCTGCATTCAGCCTGGTCCTCGCCTTCTGGCGGTCCATAGTTTGAGGTCGGAAGTCTAAGTATTGCTTTTCAAGATCCCCGGAAGTTTGTCCCATAGATCGGTACGGTGACCGTGAGACCTGGTGAGCCGACCCCCTAGGGACAGCATGAATCCCTGATACACTGTAGACAATTCTGCTGTATCAGCCCCTGCCGTCTTGCAGCACGCATGGCAGAGAGGGGCCCAGAGATTTCATGCGCAGCTGATGTGATCTGCCGGCTCTTCGAGAGTTGGCTGTGCTGAGGCAGCAGATGATGACTTGGTGGCCTTGAACGACCGGCTGGAAGAAAGCAAAGAGGTACTCTGAAAATACTTCGCCCTCGCTCAAGATCCAGCTGTCATAGGATGAGCTTGTTTCTATGCAGCTTCATTTCAGTCAACCTCAACCTCAGTTTCAATTGCACAAGGTTGACGCTTGCTTTCCAGTAGCTTGACTCTAGTTTGCGGGGCAATGCTCATCCTTGTAAGCATTGCTTGCTGTGTCAGCGTTTTTTTGTTGGCACAGCTTTGTGGATACCGGAGGCCCGTGGAGTGCGTGGAGGTTTAGGGCGTGTCAAAGGTGCACAGCAGACTCCCTGGGGTAACTCCGGCAAGATCTTGATAACTCATGCAGATGATCTGCAGAAGACTTTGGTGCCGTCCTGCTAGGACAGGGCTTCTTTCTTTCAGCAAAGACAAAATGGGCCACCGGCTCAGCTCTTGCTTTGCAGGCTGAGTGCTTGTGTGCTTTTGGCGCTCTTCCGACGCAGGAGCCCGCAGGAAGCGACCCGCTGTACAAGCGATTTACCCGCGGCCCAGTCTTGGGAGAAGCCAAGGCCGCCGGTCCGCACCAGACTGTGCCGGGCTGTGTAGTGCTGCTTAGTCAGCCAAGTCAAGTAGATGTCAGTGCTTGTCTCTCCAAGCAAAGAGCACTTCCTGGCAAGAATTTATCTTGGCCACAGCATTTTCTGGAGGGCGATGACCTTCCTGGCTTTCGAGTCTGCACCTGGCATGTCGAGCTTGCCAGAGACACTGCGAACAGAGGCCGATGCTGACATTTGGCGCAGGCACGCAGAGGCCGCACTTGCTCGCCTCGTTGCCACAGTGTCGCAGCTCATAAGCCGGTCTGCATTATGCATGCTGCTCAGCAACCGCTGCATCCTCCGCTAAACAAACTGTGAGAGTGGACAGAGCGGATTCAACTTTGCACAGGTGGCACTTACGGAAGCAGGTGGTGAGATGACTTGGCAGGAGCTTCGGGATGAGGCGCTGAAGGTCAGGGGTTTCAGAGACTCGCTGCCCTCCCCACATGCAACAGGTCGTGGCTCGAAGACGCAAGGACTTCGCACAAGGAGAGCAAGTCGCGGAATTCAGACATGGTGTGATCTTTCATCAGGAATCATGATGGCCCGACGTTTTGTGTCACTGTCAGTTGATTCAGTGACAGTCCCACTCTGCAGGAGACCAGGTTGACACCTCGCTGTGGCCATTCATGGCACTGGCTTATCTGCCCGAGAAGTTCCTCAGCGAAGAGGAGTGTCGTCATGGAGCCCGTGACATGACAACTCTTTCACTTGGGCTAACAGTGAGCCCACACTTGGGCGCGCCTAAACAAGTTGCAAGTTCCACACACGTGGCCTGATCTGAGTTAGTGCGTGAGCGTCTTGTTCATGGAGCATGTACTGCAAGATTGCGGCATCACAGCTTGCAAGTAGAAGAAGTAGGACCTTTGAGCATTTCGCTTCTATGGATGGTTCCATGATCAAAGTCTGGGTGCTGCTGTTGCAGGATGCCATGGTCCGGCTCGGTGGGGAGCCACAATAACCGTACTTGTCGGGATGAGCTAATGAGCCAATTATTGGCAGTGCTGCGAAGCAGGTGCTGCCCGCAATGGTTTTGCTGACCATTAGAATAGTCCGTCAGAAGCTGGAGAGAAAAATCTGGATTCGCCAGGCCGCTGGTTCGTTTGATGCTCTAGCTGTCGCAGTAGTTCGTTCTTTGCTGCCCTGGCTTTATTCGAGAATGTGCAGCTGGAGGTTTCTCATGTGAAGGTTCGGGGTTTCAGGCGGCTGAGGTTTAGGTAGATGAGGTAGAATCGCTGCACAGGGAATTCCACAGGCCGTGCCCAAGCAAAGCGTGCGTGCAACAAGGCAGGAACGTCAGGCTTTTGCGCACGATCAATGCTCAGCCAAAGGCAGTCCGTGTCCAGTCGCCGTACAGCGACAAGTCTGCGAAGGTAGAGAGCTCTGAGTCTTACTTGTATAGTCTTATAGTCAAGTCATCATGCGGGGCCATAAGCCATGATCGGCCATGGAGCTGGCTTAGAAGCTCGCAGGGGGAGTCAACGTAGTGATTGGGTGCAACTTCAGGGTGTTTCTTCGCATGTGCGAGCTCCGCCATGGATGCGTGCCCAAGTCAGAGCCCCGGAAGTCCATCAAACGAGACTGTCTCTGGCACGCAGCGTGGCTTGCATCTGCACGGGTAAGGTAGAGCAAATGTCGCCGGTTCAAGATCGATACGTGCAGAGCTTTGCGATGTGCCTGTTTCGACAGCCGCATGCAAGCGGTCTTGAGCCTATGACCTACGAGGCTAGAAGGCTGAAGCCAGCTGCTCAGAGCAGTCTCGGTTCTACATCCCGGCTGCAGGATTGCGAGATCTTGTGACGCTGCCAGTAGAACTCTTCCAGAGCCTGTCGGTTTTCATCACTCAGGCTCCATGTGAAGCTGCAGGCTCCCGGCCCCGGAGAACGGTTTGCAGCAGGGGGCTCAGAAGCCTGGCACTCTGGGTATCCTTTGGTCCTGTTGTCAGCGTCTCTGAGGTCCTCGGATCCCACGAGGCATTTGGATGTCCGTCCCTTACTGCGGCGCGGAGACAGCACGTTGTTTTGAAGCGCTCCCCGCTCAGACTGGAATCTCAGCTCTGGGGTGCAGTGCTGCTGGCGATTTGTCCCAGATATTTCTCGGTTCCTGCCTTGCAGAGCCGGCGGAGGGCAGTGTAGGCATTGACAGGTATTGCAAACTGGTCATACACTTGTTCTTGTCGTCACTTGGCCAAGGGGTGTCGTGAATCCCGACTGTCTCAGGTGGAACAGCATAAATTTGCTGAGTTCTCAGTCACAAGGTGTAGTTACCCTGATTGGATTCCCGAGTTGTTGCGTTGCTGTTGTGCGTCCCATTGAATCTACATCAGTGTTTGTCGCGCTTTGTGTTGCTGTCTTGTCGTGGTAGTCCTAAATCCTGTCATGGTGAGAACAGCTGTGTCCTGTCATGGTCACAGCGCCTCCTCTTCAGTCAATAATTCACGTTAGAAACGAATGGTACGTAAATCCATCCCCACAATGCCGAGAGTGACAGCTTTGAGCCAGGCTGGAATGGAGAGGTAGTGCCTGGGTCTGCCTGCCTTGTTTCAGACATGCACTTGTGAAGGAAATGCAACGCGGTACCCATGCGTGGCGGAGTCGTGGCAGGAGACCCCGGCTCCAATTCCAATCTCCCCTTGCGAGCGCGTGGAATTTAAATTTGTCCGCGTTCGGCCTCGGTCTCAGCCTGGAATCGACTCGTCGTGCACTCGTCGGCCGCCTCGCCGGGCCGAGGCCTGGTGGACTGGATTGGGAGAGTGGCCCCAACAGGGTGCCTTGGGCCGATTTGGTGCCTTGCTGTCGGGAGTAAGTGCAAGTCGCAGCCGAAATGGCCAGCAGCAAAGACACAGATTTGCAGGTCACGGAGTTCCCAAATTACAAGGGTGATTTGTGTCTCCAGGCCCAACCTCAGGAAGTTTTTTGCTGTTTTCCGTGCCGATCTTGGATCCTCAGGGGATTTTCAATGGCGAAAGCATACTTCAACCGAGCGACGTGGACGATGCTGAGGCCTTCTCGCATGCTCGAGTGCCTGTGGACTGTGTGGGGTGTCTCAACGCAGGGTATCTCAACGCCAGATACCATGCCATCAGCACGGGTGGAAGCCTGGACCTTCGGGAGTCACTTCTTCGAAGCGTGAAGACCTCTGACAAACTCTAAGGATGACGCAGACTTGTGGCAGATGCGATACCAGGAGGCTGTCAAACAGCTCACTGCCTGGCTCCCAGCTAGTTGCAAACATTGCAATGAAACTGTTGCTTGAACTGCATTGCAGGAGTTGGGGGTGGGAATAAGTCGCCGGTGCAGTTCCATTAGTCGCAGCAGGCTGTAGTTAGTGGTGGTAGTGGTAGGTGGTACTGGTAGTGGTAGTGGTAGTGGTAGTGGTAGTGGTAGTGGTAGTGGTAGGTGGTAGTGGTAGTGGTAGTAGTAGTAGTAGTAGTAGTAGTAGTA